TGCCCTTCCATAGGGCAATTTCTGTGGCATTTATGGAAGAGTTGGTTTTTGTTTTGTTTTTTTCCACTCTACTGTCAAAGAGTATTTACAGTTTGGTGAAAGAGACAGATATGATTCAAATAATAGCAGGAAATGAATAAAGAGAAGGGAGAAGGCTAAATATAAAACCACCAGTGATACAATATTGTCACTAAGGGCAAATGGAAACTTCTGACTGTACTTTCATCCTTCCCAGAGCCCAGAGACCAGGAAGAAGCCAGTAGGGGAGGTCGTTGGTAAATCTAAGGCTAGAATTGTTTGTTTTTTTTTTTTTTAAAGGTATGTTTTGTACATATGTATGCTTTATCTTTTCTACTTTCATGACTCTCTTTTTATTGAGACTTTCTCCCTCTGTAGACCTGGCTGTCCCAGAATTCACTACACAGCCCAAGCTAGCCTTGAGCTCATGGAAATTCTCCTGCCTCCACCTCCTGGGTGCTGGGATTACAGGTACACATGTAGCAAATTCTCCCTCTTAAGGTGTATTTACTGTTGTTGTTTTTCAATACCAGGAATTGAAGCCAGGGCCTGGCACACATACTAGGTGAGGGCTGTAGCACTGAGCTACATCTCAGGCCTTTTTCTTTTATTATTTTTGTTGGTGGTTATCTCAAGAGTCTTGGTTCACTGGTCAATAACACCTAACTATGGACAAATTATCAAGTCTCTCTGCCCTTGGTGTCCTTCACTGGGAAATGAAGAAGTGGAACAAAGGCCTATTCTGCTGCGGGGGTGCGGGGTCCACTGCTCTGGGTCTGCCTTGCCAGTCCTGTAAGACCATCAGCACTTGGAAGGTAGAACATACCTTTTCCAATCCCATCCTGCTTTCCAGCTTGTTTCCTCCAGTTCATGAAGAGGCTTACTTTGGATGGTGACTCAGTTAAAACTACTAGTTCCCCTTCTCTTGTTCTAAAACACATACTCCAGAGTTCCAGTTGGTGCATAAATGCAGGGTGGGTGGATGGGACACAGGGAGGCTCTGTTCTGAGCTAAAGGAACTAAGTGAATACTTCCAGAGGGAGAATTCAAGTACTTATGGAAGGGTGACAAGGTAAGCAAGGACTGATGATATAAACACAGTCCTTTAATCAAAGAGCCTTTATTTATTAGAAGACAAAGGCACATAGGCAGACGATTATAAGCATCTACAAGTCTTCTCTTCTCAAAATCACCCAAAACAGGATTGCAAAATTATGCATTGTTCACTGAGACAGATGAAGGCAAGGCAGTGCCTGTATGTGTTTATAGTTGCTGTGATCTTCCGCTGAGCCTCTGTCTTTCAGGAAGCTCACTGTCCTATGCTCTGCTTGTTAAGGTCCCCAAGTAGTACAGTCATTCAGACATTTAGGGTGCTTCCTCCTTTCTTCTGTCAACCTCAGATTCTCTCTCAGAAGGATTAGAGTGAGTAGAAGAAGTGTAGGTGGTCTGGCTGAGGTGACTGACATACCAAGAGGCAGACAGTGTTGATGTCTCTACGTGCCATTCTGAGATCCCCTTGCTGGTCTCCGGAGCTACTTCTGGCTCCTGTCACAGTGGTGGATCTGCCTCATCTCCTCAGGCAGCAGAATTCCTGTACACGGGGCACTTGTGTGCCCTCTTCTGCCTTCTGCCAGTTCTCTCCCTCTTAGCACCACTAAGTCTTCTGTGGGCTTCTGTACACTCTGGGATACTTGCAAATTCCGTACGGGTGTCAGGACCCTAGCCTCATTGCCAGAGTGGGGGGGGCAGGGTTTTGAGTATTTAAATCCCTTTTAACTCCCCCTCGGCCACATTTTATTTTCCACAGTATTTTAGACTAAAAAGACCAGACATCAGACTTTCTGCTTCCTCAACAGCATGTTTCTTTTTCCCACTCAGGCAATCTCAAGCCATCACAAACAAAAGTGACCCCTCTAACACATTAAAAAACAGTGATAACTGGGATCTGGTCTACAGGCTACTCCATGATATGCCAGAGGGACAGATAAAAGAAATTATAACACTCCTTTGTCCTTTACATAGACTGGCTATTAAGCTTCTTACTAACTTTAAAATACAGTTCTAAATGCCAAGAGCTAAAAGCTGACTTTCCCTTCTGCTAAAACAATAGCTTTCCAGAAGCAGACAGGTGCCTTGAGTTGTCTATGCAAAAGTCACAGACTAAGAGATAGAAAAGGAGAGATTTTTTTTTTTTTTTTTACAGATTTCAGAACATTTTTGTGGAGTTCTGCCAGGACGCCTTCCCCGGCTCAGATGGGAAGCACGGTGTTGCTTCAATCTAAGAAGACTGGCCTAGCTGGGCTTGGTCAGGTTTGTGAAAAGCATAAGTAGAGACAGTTGCTATGCTTACAAACCTAAGACCAGGGATAAAAGTGAATGATGGGGAGTTGTGAAGCCAGGTGTGGCTGTACATGCCTGAAAGCCTAGCATTTGGAGATTGGGGGAGAAGCATCAGGATTCAAGTTTACAATGAGACATTCTCAAAAAAAAAAAAAAAAAAAAAAAAAAAAAAAGTAAAAATAGAAGGAAGTGGAAGTCGAGAACTTTGGTCTTATCTAGATAAAAAAGATCTGCATGACTGAAAAAGGAAGGAAGGGAAGGCAGCTTTTAAAAGGAGGGAGGCTATGGGGACTGTTGAGACAGCTCAGTGAGCAAAGGCACCTGTCACCAAGCCTGCTGACCTGAATTCATTACCTGCGACCCACATGCTGGAAGGAGAGAATCAGCTCCCCCAAGTGGTCTACACACACACACACACACACACACACACACACACACACACCACCACCACCACCAACAACAACAACAACAACAAATTATAATTTTTGTTTTGCTTTTCTGGACAAGGTTTCTCTGTGTAACAACCCTGGCTGTCCTAGAACTCACTCTGTAGAACAGGTTTGCCTCAAACCCAGAAATCTGCCTGCCTCTGCCTCCTGAGTGCTGGGACTAAAGGTGTGGTCCACCAATGCCTGGTGACAATTTTTTTTTTAAATATAAAAGGTTATGAGAGAAGGACTCATGAGGCCCTACCTCTTCCTACATAGTTAGATAGTTAATGGTTGCTGAGGGGAGGCACAGTCAGTTTTCTTAGTGGTGTAACCATTGGGAGATTACCCATGCTCCTGTAAGAAACCTTCCACTCACACTCATGCAAGCACACCTAATTAAACTTAGTGAGCCACAAAAACAGAACTAACTAAATAAATAAATAGCCTATTTTCTAGTCTCCTCCCAGCTTCAGAGAGCTGTTTCCTTTGTCTTCAATAAATATTGCCTCTTTGCTTGGCCATCCCCTGACTTCCCCTGTAAAAGATATGAAATTAGCAAGAGGCCTTTTTGGGAAGGTGTTCCCAGCAGAACTGGGAGGGAATTAGAGAAGGTAATGGGGGAGGGGTGGGTGACAAATGAACAAAATATACTATATACATGTATGAAATATATGGTTTGCTTTTTTAAAAGGGAGTAGACTGTTAAAACAGGGTGTAGTGGTATACACCTGGAATTCCAAGTCTTGAGACTTGGTAGAAGGAAGATCAAGAGTCCCAGATCTTCAACTATACAGTTGGAAGCCAAGCTTGGATACCCAAGACCCTGTCTCAAGAACAAAGACAAAAATGTGGGAAGGGCCTTACAGTGCCACCTGTAAATTGCTAGTGAGGATATAAATGATTTAGGTTCTTTGGGAAACAGTTTTGGTGTTCCATAAAAACTTAGAAATAAGTTTGGTGTAGTCTATACAGCGTATCCATAATAGGCAAATCCACATATACAGAAAGTAGATCGGTAGTTAATGGGGGTGGAGGGAAGGAGTATAGTGAGTGACAGCTAAGGGTCTGAGTCTTATTTGGGGAGAACTAACTGGACTGGATATTTGTATAGTTTCAGAATCTGGTGAGAATACCAAAGCCACTGAACTTCACATGCTAAAGGTGAAGTTCCTGAATATGAATTGTTTTCAACATAAAAAGGAAAAAAAAAAAAAAAAAACAAGACCGTGTGGAGTGGCTCTCAACATTTAATTCTATCCACATAGACTAGTTTTGACTTCAAGATTAAATACATTCACTTATAACTAAGAAGAATAAAATAAAAAATTAAATGACCTTTTTGATGTTTTGTTGATTTGGGTTTCTGCTTCATTCTGTTTTGTTTTGTTTTGTTTTAGATGGCAGGGTGGGGGGGTTATCTCACATTGTAGCCCAAACTTGCCTCAAACTCCCAGCAATCTTCCAAATGCTCAATCCTCCCATTCTGGGACCACAGGCATGCATCACTATGCCTGTTTCAGTTTTTTTTTTTTTTTTTTTAAACAGGATAACACTGCGACCCTTGGGTTGGTCTTGAACTCACAACCTTCCCTCCTCTGCCTCCTTGGTGCTGGTATTACAGGCATATACCCCAACACTCAGCCTGAAATGCTTTCTCCCTAACGAAGCATTCGCTGAGCATTCTATACACAGTATTCACCAATCTTCCCAACAACACCTCCAAGGAAGCAGTTGTTTTAGCCATTTTGCAAAAGTAAAACCAAGGGCTCAAAGATACTGAGTTTGTCCCTTTATCACAGAGTAAATAAGCATTTTATGAGAAGGCACAGACTTGAGAGACAGGAGGACACACTAGGCTGTGACACTGATAGCAGAACTCAGGCTGCTGGATTGCGGAGCGTTACCCTCATCTTTGTTCTGATAGATTCTAGAACACTGGCTGAATGTAGGGGAGTGACAGAGTGACTTCTGGGAAGGTGCTCCCAACATCTATCTGAAACTGTGATAGAGAATCCCAGCTAGAACACATGTGAACGTTGCAGAATTCAAGTTTTTTTCCAATCTTCTTCCCTTGGGGTTTTCCACTTCTTCCTCAATTCTTTCAGGTCTCTCATTTCCCGAGATACCCCCAAAAACGCCCCCTCCAATCCCCTCCACCTTTTCTCCCTTATTAGAAGTCTTTCCTGAAGCAGAAGGAGGAGCATGAGGTGGAGCCATGTAGGTTGGGTCACTGAGCCCGGATCTTCATCTTCCTTGGGAGTGGGGCTTCCTGCAGACAAGCCAAGAACCGTTGGACCACCAGAGCCCAGTATGATGGGATGTGCAGTGGAGATTATCGTGCCATGGAGATACCCCTGTCCAAACTAGGGGGCGAAGGGACTGGAAACTAGAAAATGCTAGCTCTGAGCGAAGCCAGAGGAGAGAACAAGGCCAGCAACACACAGAGCTCTGTGTATTCAGAGGGAAGTTGGCAGGGTTGTGCCCCGGCAGAGAAACTCTGAGTGGTACAAAGAGACGTGCCCAGAGTGGAGAAATCATGCTAATTGTCTGCACCAGAGCTGGAGAACGCCACCCAAAATGAAGAGAGAAAGGGGAGCCCTATCCAGAGCCTCCAGGGCCCTGCGCCTCGCTCCTTTTGTCTACCTGCTTCTCATCCAGCCAGGTAGGAGACCAGAAGGGTCTGGAGAAAAGAACTTGGGGCTTTGGGGGGGAGAAGGGGGGAAGAGCAAAGCCCCAGTATCTTCACGGCTGGGGGGTTGGGAGCTCAGTGGCCATGGGAAGCATCTCCGTGAATCAAGGAATCAGAGTTGAATATTATCTCTTCATTCCCTGTGCTTCCTGCCTGGCCCTGCCTCCCCGCCCCCTCCCCCAAAGACTGCATAACTCTGAAGCACCCACGGCATTCAGTACACTAACTGGAAGGCATCATGCCACTTCTTATGGGATGACTTGTTGGCGTGGGCCTGTCCAGCATTCTTTTTAAGAGGTTATGTGAGCTCTTAGTGGAAGGAGGGGAAATCTTGGTTTTGAGGCTCCCAAGCCTCCACCCTGGCTTCTCTGAGTGTCAAGCAGCTTGAAAGATAAAAGAAGCTTTGTTGATAATGAGCCTTCTGGTTTACGATAGTAATCCATTCTATTCATAATCCACTGCCAGCCTTAGACACCCACCTCTTGTAATGCCTTCTATCAACTCTGTGTGTATGTGTACATACACACAATGACAGGGACCCCAAAAAATGCATTGTTTTAGTGTGGCAAGCAGATACACAGATTGTTTTAACAAAAAGCGGGAATTAGAAAAAAAAAAAAAAGTCACCTGCCTGCATCCAGGAAGCTGTTGCTGGTGGGGCAGGATGCGGGTGGGCGAGAACCAGGGAATGTTTCATTGTAGAAAGAATGTTTGCCCTGAATCTTAGAGGATGAGAAAATTAGGTAGGAGCATGAGTGAGATGATTGTTGGGAAATGGGCAAAGGTCAAGAGCTTGAAATAGTCTCCTGTGTTTAGGCGGAGCCCAGAAGTTCAGCATTGCTGAGAGAAAAGTATGAATTGAGTTTGGCAGAAGCCTTGTAAACTTTTCTCAGAAGATGGGAGACAGTCTGTAAATGGTGGGAGGAGAAATTGAGTGAACTTTAATTCGGTAACTGGAAGGATCAGATATACTTTTTGGATTCCTTGGTCAGCAATGAATCACTGAAGGGATAACCAGGCAAGATCGAACAGAATGGAAGCCTCTTTGATTCTTCTGAGGCGACAAAACAAAATGACACGAAGTAGGTGGGTTAGGTAGCAGAAAGTCGTTGGCTTGCATTTCTGAATGGCAGATGCTAGAGATCAAGGTATGGCTGGTGCCACACTCAGCCTCAGAAAGCAGTAAGGACGGATCTGTCCCAGGCCTCTTTGGCTTGTGGAAGCAAAATTCCAGCCTTCAGGTGGCATTTTCCTGTAACGGATCTGTCCCAGGCCTCTTTGGCTTGTGGAAGCAAAATTCCAGCCTTCAGGTGGCATTTTCCTGTTTGTGTGTGTGTTCAAATGACCCCATTTTACAAGGACGTGTGCGGAAGTGGATCCACCCTACTCCAGTATGACCTCATCTTAACTCCTTGGCTCTGGGAAGACCTCATTGCCAAAAGAAGTCCGAATGTGAGATGTGGAGCTGGGGGATGAGGATTAGTAGGGCATTAGGATATGAGTTTGAGGAATTATGCTTCAGCCCACAGCAAAGCTATTTCTAATTAATACTATGTTAGTAAGATATTAATTATGAGCTAGGCATGGTGGTGCATGCCTATAATCTCAGCACTTGAGAGGTGGAATGAAGATGGAGTTGAAGGTCATCTTTGGCTATATAGTGAGTTTGAGTCCAGTCTGAGCTGAGATCTTGTCACAAACAAACAATATTAGTTATAACCCACACAGTTAAGTGTTGGGCCATAGGCTATTGTACTGCTATTTTAACAAGCAATAAGAGTGCACGCTCTGTTATAAATCTCTGTTCTCTTTGCTGTATTAGGAAAATGCCAGCGTCTAAATTTCAAATTTTAAGTTCTTGGCATTAATTATGTGTCAGTACAATAAAGTGGTAGACTGGGCCTGAGAAAGAAAGGCTGTTATGGTGTAGAGTTCTCAAGGAACACGCTGAGCTGATTCTGCTTCATGTGTGGGTCGCTGTGAAGTTTGTCTCTATTTAGTCCAAGTAGAGAATTCATTTGTTTGTTTGAGGCAGGGTCTTCTTACTCTGTAGCCCTGGCTGGCCTGGAACTTGCGTGTAAACCAGTCTGGCTTCAGACTCAGGAGCTCCGTCAATCTCTGCCTCCTGAGAGTGGGAATTAAAGGGCTTGGCCATCATGCCTGGCCAAACAAAAAAAAAATTTAAAAATAAATAAATAAATAAAAATGTAAAAAAACTTAACGAATACAATGAAGAGACATATAAAGGAAGGTTTTCCAAAGTAAGTCTCTGAGTGGTTCATTTCACATCCACTAGTTCTATTGGCTAGAACTTGTCACATGGTCATGCCCAACTGCAATGGAAACTGGGAAGTGTAGTATTAAGATTGGCATGGGACAGGCTGGAATGGCGGCTCAGTTAACAGTGCAGGCTGCTCTTATAGAGAACCTAGGTTTGATTCCCAGCACCCACACGGTGGCTCACAACCACCCACGATTCCAGTTTCAGGGGATACGACGGTTCTTCTGACCACTGCAGGCATTGCACACATGTCATGCATATATGCACATGCAGGCAAAAAAACAAAACAAAACCCACTCATACACATAAAATAAAGTTCAGTCTCTGATCTTTGTGAATGAGGCTTTCTCTGCCCCAGCCTGCCCCTCTTTGTTTTCACATTGATTTGCTTATTTTGTGGGAGTTGTGGCATCTAACTCTAGAGGTCAGAAGACAAGTCCCAGGTGTCAGTTCTCTCTTTCCACTTTGTGGCTCCCAGGTATTAGATTTGGTGACAAGGACCCTTACCCACTAAACCATCTGGCTGGCCCCAAATCAAGCCAAATTCAGACTTCTTTAACTCACCATAGCACAATTTACTTATCCAGAGGCTAAAGTGTTCACAGAGATAGACGTTAAATGACATAAATCCAAACTTTAGAGGTTTTATTCTCTGGACTCTTGGGTCTCTGTGTGTTATTTGGGGCTGGCGACATGGTGGGTCCAGGCCGGCAGGAAAAACCTTACCGTAACAGACTCTTCCACTCCTCTGCCTGGTTTCTGTGCTGAATTTGGGGGAGCAGGTAGGTATTAAAACGGTCTGACACTGTAGTCCAGGGTAAACTTAAATTTAAAGCGATCCTCCTGTTTCATCCTCCTGAACTCTGGGACTAGAGGTGTGAGCCACCACACCCAGTGTCTTTTCAGCCTGATTTCACTACCATGTTGCAGCAGTGACCCTTTTCAGTTTAAAAAACAGTGTAATGGAAAAACCTCACAGAGGGCGATGCAGTTAGCATAAGGGTATAGTTTGACATGCCCTTAACAAAGTGAACAAACCCATATAATCATCACTTAGAGAAACAGATGTGGCTAGGTTGGGGACACACACCTTTAATCTCATCACTTGGCAAGCAGAGACAGGAGGATCTCTGTCAGCTTGAGGCCAGCTATCTATCTATATATATATATATATATATATATATATATATATATATCTCAAATTCCAGGCCACGTAGGGTTACATAATGAGACCTTGTCTCAAAAAAAAAAAAAAAAAAAGAACTAAATCATGCTGTTTCCCCAGAATCACCCAAGTATTTCAGTTGTTATGATAGCTACCGAGGCCGACACCTTCAGAGCAGATTCCTTCAAAGGGCCTTCATTTTCAGCATCAACTTTATGATACAAGCTGAGCATGCCTGGAGGCATTCCTGTTATCACTTTAATCTTTTAAACATGAACTCCATATCATATTGAGCATATGCAGGGGTATGCTTCCTAATTGATAACGCTTGGGGTTGGGCCAACCTCTATATGACATAGGCTCCCTGAATGAAATCAATTCCTTTGTTCAAGGAGGGCATTGCTTTGGAAATAAATCCCATGTTTTCCTTCCCTGCTTCAGGTAATAAATCCATCTTCACTCCACTTTTATGTCTTGGCTATGTTTATTTTGGCTTTGCACTCACCAAGATATGAACCCAAGTAGTTTTGTTACCGGTTGCTACAGAAGCCAATGGCAGAGCAGGAAGTGAATCTATTAACAGCACTCTATTCAGAGAACCAGCAATCTAGGAGACCAGAGTATTATCACCCCCCCCCCCAAATCTGCCTTACTCAGACCATCACCAACTAGGCCATTTTATAGGGAACAAGAGCAAAGGCAATTAATCATTCCAAACTTGAGTCTGGTCCTTCCAGTCAGGTCCCTCCAGCCAGGTAGTCAGGCCTTATCCTTATAGTCATGGTGTTGGTACTTCTTATTTCTTCCTTCACTCTTTTCTCAATTCTCTCTCTCTCTCTCTCTCTCTCTCTCTCTCTCTCTCTCTCTCTCTCTCTCTCTCTCTCTGTAGTGGGGGATTCACAAATTCCTAAGGCCACTGAGTCTCACATTCCTCCCAGGTGATTATAAAAGTTACAGAGTGTACATGCAGAATCCCAATGACAATATACACACTGCAAGTGTGCTCTTGTAATATAGAATATAAAGTGGCCTTACCTGTCCCTTATCACACAGTCACTTGGTTCCACTGCTCTTGGGCCTGTGCTCAATATGATAGAACATCACAATATCAGGGAACATGTGAGAGGGTAAATCAACTCATGGCAGACGGAAGGTAGGAACAGACAGGAAGGGGCCCAGCCAGACATCCCCAGCAACTTACACCTCCAACCAGGCCCTACCTTTTAATAGCTCTTTTAGAACAAACCATTGGTGAATTAACCCATTGATGAAGTTAATACCTTCATGAGCCAATCATCTCCCAATCCTCTTATTTTAATTAGTTTTAAATGGAATCAAATTCTAGTTTTAAGCTTACATTTCCATGATAATCAAGTTGGTAATCAAGTTAAGCTTTCCTCATATTTTTATCAAACAATTGGATATGTTTTTTTTTCTAAAGTAACTGTTCCAAGTCTTTTTTTTTTTTTAAGATTTATTTATTTTTTATTATTTTCAAGTGTGTGTGTGTGTGGGGGTGCTGTGGTG